ATTGCCTAAAGAAAACTTCTGAAAATTAAATTTTTCCCTTTTTTTAAAGCAAAAAATTAAAGGCCACTGGGCCCTTCATAGGTCCGCCCCTGGCATGCAATATATCCACAAAACACCTTTGGCCTCATGGATATGTGTCGAATTCGTCGACATCTCATATTACATCCAAGGAAAATAAATTGATGGATATCTTGTGGTGTTTGCATCTTAACATGGTCCCTAAAATAAATATTATCATCCATCAATGTAAATATAGCAAACGTAGCCCCTAATTGCGTACAAGAAACTATAGACCTATCTCCAAAATATTAATTCAATAATCTTTTTGTTCCGATGAACTATGGGCATAATTTGTTCTTCATTTTGAGAGTTTAGTCTTGTAACAAGGATAAACTCGAATAAAGAAAATTGGGTCACCTTTCCATCCCCTAACTGATACCACAATTCGTTGGTGTTGACTAACTTAAGCAGCCAAAGGAACATAATGTCGATGATCGAGAAATGCAAGCGCCTTATGCGAAAGAATTTCCATAGGCATGAACAGAGTAGCTGCTCTTTGTGATTGCCATCTAATATCTTTTTGATGTTTTTGATGTTACAATAAGATTAAACATTTCTCAAAAATTCACATAACTGTTAATAGCGTACTCTATCATACAATAATAGATGAATTTTAGTAATATATAAGCAAATTTCAAACATATGATCGATTAAGTAGAGTCTGTAAAATGAAGTTTCTCACATACTACAATCGATGAAGACGATTCTAAGGCATTGGTGAAGAATAATCCTCACAGAATGCGAAGGTTTAGTGGTGAATCATCATCATCATCAATTGGAAGGGATTGGTGAGAATTCAATATTCACGATTCTCATTTATGGTGGCAGTAGTGTGGTTAAATATTTCAATGCCATTTATGGTGGTGTGAGATGGCGACTTGGTGGAGGTGCAGATAGGTGACAATGGCTTTTTGTGGCGGTTGTGATGGCAATGAGATTGGGGTGCCATAATGACAGTTTATTATGAACGCAAGTTGGTGTGATGATGCCATTTGTGTAGATGGTATTGAAGACGGTGGTGGTGGTGGTGCACATCTAGTGATGATAGAGTTGTGGCATTGTAACATGACATGCTACAAGTATAATACAATTTGTTGACTGTGGTAGTGAAAACATACGCACAACGCTCGTTGTAACAAATTGTAATCTTAAAAAATAACAAGCAATATACTGTTTTGGTTAACAAAAAATGTTGGACAGGAGAATAGTTTGTGAAACTTTCCAGTTTTAAAATTTGTACGTTTATTTGTATTTTTAAATCATTACTATTATCTGCTTCGCAATGATGATTGAATAGCGTTAAATAATATTAAAGACGGTAAAAATTAATACTTTTGAACGAAACTTTCCCCTAAACACTGTGTTCAACAAGAAATCAACCGTCACTAAATTCCAAGGGACAAGCAATTCATCCGGCTCGATGCCTACGCCAGTCCCTTGTTCTTTTTCGATATTGTCCAGTTCAATTCAACATATCACACGTATATGAAATATTGCTAGTTTGTACAGCAGGTGATTGAGATTGAAGATTCATTTTCTTTATCAAAGGATATGAAAGCCCACGTTTTATCGGAAAAGCCAAACAGCTGGTCAATTACATATAACTCGATATTATCTCACTTAATACAGCAGGAATACATCATTCCAACTGAAATTTCTACAACTTTCAAATGAGTTCGGATCAAAGATGTGCCAAAGGCTAGTGAACTTCTATACTTCAGCCATGTGGGATTTCTCGTTCATGTTTGGTGTCGTTCCTTCCCACAGCTCTGCTAGCTCATTTCTCATCCAAGAAATGACAATTATCGGCCCCAAAGTAGACGGAACCTACATTCATTAAATAAGTACTAAAAATGAGTATACGTGCTAAAAGTGAGTAATAAATCACAACACTTCGTAATCAATGAGTGCTGATTGGAGGTACTGGGGTCATTGGTTGTGTCTCGTTTTCACTTTTCCAAACTATATTAAACAAAAGAAGTCATCTAGTGACAATTAGAGGACGAAAATATTAGAAAATTCGTATCTACGTGAGCAACGAGATCTCAACAAAATGAAAGAACACAGAAATTTTTTTTGTATGTTGCACGGTATCCAAATGTGAAGTAAATCATAGAAAGTTTTGCATCCATCCTAACTATAAAAGTTCGAATGCATGAAAACTATGAGATACCAGATACAGAAGTGCTGGCTGAGGAGAATGCGTCAAAATTCCAGCTGATAAGGCAGCAACGAGTCCAATTGCATATCCAGAGAGGGCATACCAAAAATACTTAAACCCCTTTGAAGATTGTATATCCGTGGCACTCACAGTATCCCTGCTTTCTCTGTTATCAAAAAAGAGAATCAATGCTACAAGCATTGAAGGAATAGCCTGCAAGACCATGATCCAAAATCTCAAGATGTCAGTATCTAGTCAACTGCATTTCTTAAGCAACCTAGATTAAACAAGAAAGACAAAAGTAAGGCATGCTATCATGACATCCAAAAACCACTGAAGGAAAACAAAAATGTCATAGAAGTCAGTGTCACAATATTTTACGCACGTCATTGGGTACCATATAATTAAAAGAATTCAAACACAAATTTCCCCTCAAGGTAGCTTTCAATCTTAAATTCTTAATTCCCAATTTAAAAAAAAAAAAAAAAAATTCTTCCAATACTAACTTGTGAAATGCTTCAATGGCAACAAATCAAGGACAAAATCACAGCATATCACAAGGTAAAATGGATAAGGGGTTTCATGACCTTTTGCTTGGTAAGGATTCTATTTTATGAGATATCATTTGAGGAGACTTTATATACTTCACACGATTAGCGAGTGCATCTAAGAAACAGAACATGAATTAGTTGTAGAGAAGCTAAAATAAATTACAGATTAGTATGCAGTAACGGTTTATATCCATGGTTTTACAACCACTGCAAGATCTGACCAACCTAAAGGACAGAAAAGGAAAGAAAGTTAAGCCAATACCGAAGTAGTCAATGAGTAGATGATCATGTAGAGCACAGAGAACTACGTAGCATAAGCTCAAAAATGGGTTGAGGCCTCACCAAAAGCAGTTTACTGCAAAATCTACTATAGCGAGACATTACCAAGTCAGGGACAGGCATATTTAAAGCCTCATCTGAATAAAAACAAAGACAACTAGATCTGATTCAAATTTTAAAAAAATATGAAGGAAGAATCTGTGCCTTTCATTTTTTGTGCGGAAGCAATGTCTGATGTTGAACTCAGAGTAAAATTGCATTCTGATCACAAGACTTCATTATGTATTACAGTGCAATTTCTTTGACAGCAGAAAAAGGGTAAAATAATAGCACAAATACAATAGAGAATCTAGTGAAAGATGTGACATGTGATGAGAAAAAAACAACTGTACTTGAAGTGATCTAATCATGCCATTGAAATAACAGTAACTAGATCAAAACAATTTGTACCAAACAGAATTGCACATAATGTTTAGACGTAGAATTCAAACAAGATATAGTACAAATAAAGAAAAATGCCAGAAGGCAAGTCTAAAAGTATTCTAAACCACCCCCACCATCCCCAACACCTCAGATGTAAGTAGAGAGGGGAAAGGTTTGCAATTAAATATGCCAAATCATGTTCCTTAATGGAACAGAAGTTATTGTTAAAACAAAGTAAAGCATATCTTACCATGTCACCAAGACCCAGCATCATGTAGTCAGAGGCACTATTTCCAGGTATTGTACTGCCTAGTATATTCCTTGGAAAGACAATCTTGACCGGCAACTCGAGTTTTTTTGTAATCAACTGCAATCCAGGAAGACTTAAACTATTGGCCACTGTGTGCATGGGATTAGACGCTTGTTGTGTTGCTACAGATACCATAACATTTTCTCCAAAAATTCTCTCCGAATAGAACACCCAGAATATGTCATAGAAAAACAGACAAACAAGGAGCAGCGCACATATCTTGATGTTGGGAAGTCGAACATGGCTGACAAAAGCAATGCAAAGAGAGATACCCAACAAATTGTTCAAAATCCAATACCCAGATACAAGCCACATTACTACTAAAGCAACACATATCAACAGTAGAAGCCCTTGGGTTCGGGTAAATGGTTTGGAACAGCATCGAGATACATATGGGTCAGATAAACCAAATTGTGACTTGACGTGACTAACATATGGTGATAGACAGAAGTACAGGGCTGATGCAGAGGCAACTGCAGTAAAAGCAGTGAGGATTTGTGAAACAGAAGAGAACAAATAAAACATCAAAAGCAGGCTGCAGGAGCTCATTATTGGGATCATCAGCGCCTGAGACCTGTCTAAAGTAATGGATGCTTCAGATAAGTCCCGGTTCCGCTCCATTTCTTTTCCATAATTCAGAGCTCGCGTAGCAGATGCATATGTCACTGCTATAGCTGTCAAAATGAGGGTGACTGGAGCAGGTTCCAGCAAATAAACAAGTTTCCACAAAGGCTCCATGTCTGACAATCTCCAAAACTTTGTATCTCAAGTTGTCTTGAAAACTCAAAAGCCACTTGGATCAGTCACCATCCAAAATTTTCTCTAGAGCAACTATATCCAAAATAATCAAAACCAATGAAAACCAAGAAGAGCTTCCCAGATAATCACAAACTTATTGTGGGGGAAGCATTTTTTTATCTGATGAACATTCAACCAGATAAATATATGCAACCTGGACAAAGTAAAACACAAATTAGGATCAAAACAATTCAACCAATTCAATAAAATCAAAACAATCAATTTCACAATTATAAGACTTGCTTACTCAAATACCTCTAAAACCTTCTTCCACCCAGAAACAGTAAACACAAAAATATTACAATTTTCTCAAGTTCTTTTCCTTAGAAATGTTTTATTTTTAGCACATTCTTTCAATCTGTTTGATCAATAAACCTCTTGTACGAAATATTACTCCATACACTAATGTAACCGCACATCCAAAAGACACAGGAGAATACCCCCTCCCCTTCCGCCTTTCATAAACCTGATTTCTTATAATCGAAATCTTCAGTATAATACGGTTATATACACGAAGAGCAGAAACTAATTAACGATACAATTACTAGCAAAACTAATTAATGCAGATAAGAAATTAGCCAAATGATTTCAGAAAGCAAACAAATTGGGTAAATTTTACAATCAGTTGACTAACTAACAAGTAAAAAACACAGAGATCTTAAAGTAAAAAGAATGCGACGAATTATGAATTATAACATAAACATGAAAAATAATGTCGATTATTCATCAGTTTTTTGAAAGCGGAACTACCTTTTGATTTGAAAAATCTGAATTGCCGACCTCTCCTCACAACCAGTGAGGGCTTCTTTTCCAATGGAGTGTGATTTCACGGTAAAGATTGAGACAGGGCGGATTTTACACTTTATCCCCAACCTTTTTTGATTATTCTATTTTCACCCTAAGGGCTTGAGGATTTTTCCTTGTCAAATGATAGTGAAGATGGAAATTGGGCCTTGAATTTATAGAATTTGTATTATGCTGTCGAAGTATGGTTCAAAAAAAAAAAAAAAATTAAAAAAAGAAGGTAATTTAATTCCGATTCCCTCCCATCCATTTGCATTCGTACAACATGGTCGTATCTTTGGAGGCATTCGCATCTTTTTTCGTATCCCCAACCTTTTTTGATTATTCTATTTTCACCCTAAGGGTTTGAAGATTTTTCCTAGTCAAAACTCAAAAGATAGTGAAGATGGAAATTGGGCCTCGAATTTATAGAATTTGTATTGTGCTGTCGAAGTATGGTTCAAAATTTTTTTTAAAAAAAAGGTAATTTAATTCCGATTCCCTCTCATCCATTTGCATTCCTACAACATGGTCGTATCTTTGGAGGCCTTCGCATCTTTTTTCGTATTTGGTCCATGTTTGGTGTAGAAGATTGTGGATCAATAAAATATGTGGTTAAAATTATTTTTTATGATTTTAACTTAATTTTTTATCAAAATTTTAAGGTACATCACACATGGACTTAATAGTTTAGAGTTTTCCTCTTTGGTCTAATGAGAGAATTTTTTCATCCTTCATTTTTGAGCCTTTTGTGCACACATGCGACAATTATAATAATTTTGGAGAGGTAAAGATAAGAAGAAAAAAATTGAAAATATATTAGTATAAGAAGGGGAAAAAAAGAATATATAAATCAATGCAAGCTGAGTTCACATAAACACAAACTCTTCGAGTGATCGGTTAACTTATCGCTTTTAATAAAGAGATACTTAATTTTTCGTGCTCTTAAAAGACGTTTCTAAGAAAGATCTTTTAGAAAATAAGTTATAATTTAAGATTTATGTGTACAAGTAATTTTCAATTCACGTGCGGATGACTAGGTTCAATTATTCAATTTACGGGTTAAATACACCCATGATCATCCAACTTTATATTTAGTGTCACCATGGCCATCCAATTTAATTTTGTTTCATCAAGACCACTCAACTTTATACTTAGTGCCACCATGGCTACTCATTTTGATTTTTTTTTATCATGGTCATCCAATTTCGTATAACATTTTATTACGATTACCCAATTTCGTCCAATGTTTCACCGTGACTACTCAACTTCTTTTCACCTTTTTTCATTAATTTTAGAAAGAATAAAACGGTAACTTTACATTATATATAAAATAAATTTAAAAAAAAAACAAAATTAGAACTTATTTTAAAAAACGTTTTTAAAGTAAAATAAAAACTTATTTTTTTAAAAAAATATTTTTTAAATAAAATAAAAACTTATTTTACAAAAATGTCACTTACAAAAATAAAATAAAATAAAAATTATTTAAAAAACGTTTTTAAAACAAAATTTTTTTTTTTTAAGTTACTTAGAAATATAAAATAAAATAAAACTTATTTAAAAATAAATAAAATAAAAAAACTTTTATTTTGTTTTTTAAAAATTTATTTTATATACATCATGCAAATTTACCATTTTACCCCTTTTAAAATTAGTGAAAATGGTTCAAAGAAGTTGGGTGGCCATGCTGAAACATTATATGAAATTTGGTGGCCACAATAAAATAAAATCAAATTGGGTGACCATGGTAACAATAAGTATAAAGTTTGGTAGCCATAGTGAAACAAAATCAAATTAGGTGGCCATGATGACACAAGTAAAAAGTTTGGTGGCCATGGATAGATTTAATCCTTCAATTTACTTTTATCTCATTTTCAATTAAATTATTTTTGAATGATTTCATATTACTCTTAATTACCCACTGATGCACTATTTATTCATTTTTCACTTCTACAAGTCAATTATAATTGATTTTTTGTGAATGATTTGTTTTTACTCATGTACGAAGATATCACCAATTATACGCGTTACACAAATTGAATTATCAAAAATTTAGGTTCATAGTCCACGCTCCTCAAATGTTTTTATGTATAGTGTTATGTTCGGATATTTGTCCTTAAAATTTTGTAAATAAACGATATCATGACAAGTAACAAAGTAAATGTAAATCTAAATATCGTTTCCAAGTGAACTAAGTATTCAATTTCCTTCCTATTTGCACTAACTAACCAAATAGAAAATTATAGAACTCAATTGAAGATAAACACCATTTTCCTAATTTATTTGATAATCTCTCTCGATTAAAATTAAACATAATCTCATATATGACCAGTTATATCTCTATGAAGGATGTTAATTCATGAGGACGCATTGAACCACAATAACATTTATAAGTTCATGCAAAAAATATCGATATATTTATATCATATATTGGACTTTACCCTTATTGATATTACAGGTATGTTTGATGATTATTGAGAAAATAATGTATTTTAAATAGTGATATGGTAAAAAATATGCAGTTAAAAAGTAAGGAAAAGTTACTGATGTGATGGAAAATATTATTTTATTGAATAATGTGTGGTTGAAAATGAGTTTTGAAAAAATTTATTTTTAAAGAATGTGTGAAAAACAGGGGCTACATGTTATAATTTCTATTACTTCTCTCAAATGAAATAAAAATCACATATCTAATCAATTAACGACCAACTAATTTAAAAGAATTAAAAATCTAACATTTATTCAAACCAAACAAATATTAAAGTCAAAATCTTGAAACTAAAATTAAATCATCAAAGTATAGGGTTCGTCATTATCCAAAGGTCTATACAATTGGCCAAACATTATATGATTATAAAAACATAAAGTGGATTGATTATGAATCAAAATTAAAGTGTAGAAAGAAGATGGAAG